GTGGGAAAGAGAGGAACTTCATGTAATGTGAGTTGGAGACGTTTCTAAATTAGGTAGAGGCTCATAAAAACATTTTGTTTGGCACACTGTCCTCTGCCATAAAAAAAAACAAGGTCAGACCTATTATAACAATTAAATGAATTTACTCATCATGAAGCCACCCATCCCTCACCGTGCCAGCTTGTAGTCATTTCCAACTATGCTTTTCATTAGCATGAATGAACTGTGCATTGAACCAGGCCACCTCGCCACAATGTTGGTTAGTTGCTTTTGCACATCACATATACCGGTAATTTGCACACTGATTGAAAGAAAATGCTTCCTGTTAACATAAACATATTCATCCTGTGATGGTGCTTTTATAGAAATATGTGTGAAGTCAATGCAATTGCAATGCATGTCACTGCAAATTGTGCTTTAATGTTGTTCTATTCAACTGCATTGTGGGGAATTTGATATAATTGGTTGACATACAGATAACTCCATCCCACACAGCTGGTATGGCTCGACTCAGGGTCGACTGGCACAGTCCCGATCGGTCTGCCAGCTACCTCTGGAATAACCGTTGCTTGGAACCCCAGTGTGGCCAGCAGCTGTATGTGTACGGGCAGCGCATGACTCCTCACTGTGATGCACTCCCAAACCAGCCGCAGCACCAAGCACAGTTCCAAAAGAATTGCCCTAGGTATTCTAAAATGGCTGATGAGTCAGTCGTGATCGGGGGCCAGAAACCCTTCTCTGTCTTTAAATACACACTCTGCTCTGCGTATCGCGCCATTGTTGTTTAAAGTATTTTCTGCACCACTATGCACATGCTTTTATATCTACTCATCTAAATGCATACATGTAGATGTATTAATTTTACATTATGTGTGTCCAGTGTGTACAATAATAGTTTTCACATCATTAACAGTTTCCCAATATCACCTGTAAGTGTCGCCAGTGGACCAATAACCATAGAAGCATATGTACAGGTCCTTCTCAAAAAATTAGCATATTGTGATAAAGGTCATTATTTTTCATAATGTAATTGTAGTGAACTAAGCCTCAGGTCAAATCCTGACCTTGAGGGCCTTCCTGGGACAAGAACTGTTATTTCATTGATTTGAGTCCAGAAACACAAAACTAAGTTCATCCAGAGACTTTCTAAGTGTCCTGCACTGATCAATTGAAAGAACACTCTCTTTTTATTATCATTACTATTTTACAAATGTCGTGATAATCAAAAGTGTGTTTAGTTCAAACCATTTTTAAATGTTGAAGTGAACTACTCATTTTAAATCAACTGTGAAACAGTATTAATGATTTTTAATCCTCATTCAAAGTAGAAATCATTTTAATGTTTGTTACAAGAGTAATTATTCATTTTCTTGATCTTCTGTCTGAAATGAGCAAGTGTAAGTTGGTCAAAGGTCAAGTTTCGGTCAACTACAAGTTTACTGGAAAGAAATGTCATGTTTAACTTTTTCAGACAGATATGAGAGAATTGACTCCACGAAGTCTCGGGTTCTTCAAAACATCTTCTGTCTGTTCTTAAACAATCTAATCTTTTTCCCTTGACTTTTAATAACCTCTTACATCACTAAGACCACACCCTGTTGGTTCGTATCGACCAATCAGGAAGCTCTCAGAGGAACCGGAAGTGACCTCTTTAAAAGGTTCAACACTTCCTAGTTCCAGGAGAGTGCGGAGAGAGAATGCAGAGTTCAGAATGCTGGAGAACAACGGCAACTAAGCTGAACGAGAGAAGTTCAGAGGAACTATGAAGAAGTCTGTTCTGGGATGATCTCATGAATCCGAACGGTTCCCTACTATCCTTACAGAGACGCTGGAAAGCGTTGAAAGAGAACTCTACACCGAGGCCGAACTATCGTCTGCAAAGGTAAAAGAGTCGATCTTCAACCGCAAAGTGTACCGTTGGTTAAGCTGGGGCCAAAGGAGCGTGTTGTTCTGGTTATAACAGACAAATTCCCTCACCTATCTCTCTCAATTTAAACTTCATTTCCATCTTTAAAACTCTTCTATCTTGCCAGTAATTAATCCAGATATTTTCAGAAATGTCTGTTGTAGAGCTTGAACCCAGATACCATGGCCGTATGGTCTCTGACGTAGAGCTAATTAATTAAGCCGTTGTTGAAATCAATTTGCCAAATTAATGTAAATGTGTGATGTTAAACTTTGATTCTGTTAATAAATGACCGCATTCATTTGATGGGTCAAAGAAAATTAACGTCTCACGTCACATTTAATTTCAATGCACGATATTATTCAGTCCAGAAAAATGAATGAATCCGTTTAATTTATGAATATATCACAGATATATGTTCCTCTACATAATGATAAAAATGAAACTTTCATATATTTCAGATTCATTGCACACCAACTGAAATATTTCAGGTCTTTAATTGTTTTAATACTGATGATTATGGCATACAGCTCATGAAAACCCAAAATGCCTGTCCAAAAAATGAGCATATCATAAAAAAGTTCTCTAAACAAGCTATTAACCTAACCATCTGAATCAACGACGTAACTCTAAACACCTGCAAAAGATTCCTGAGGCTTTTAAAAACTCCCAGCCTTGTTCATTACTCAAAACCGCAATCATGGGTAAGACTGCCGACCTGACTGCTGTCCAGAAGGCCATCATTGACCCCCTCAAGCAAGAGGGTAAGACACAGAAAGAAATTGCTGAACAAATAGGCTGTTCCCAGAGTGCTGTATCAAGGCACCTCAGTGGGAAGTCTGTGGGAAGGGAAAAGTGTGGCAGAAAACGCTGCACAACGAGAAGAGGTGACCGGACCCTGAGGAGGATTGTGGAGAAGGGCCGATTCCAGACCTTGGGGGACCTGCGGAAGCAGTGGACTGAGTCTGGAGTAGAAACATCCAGAGCCACCGTGCACAGGCGTGTGCAGGAAATGGGCTACAGGTGCTGCATTCCCGAGGTCAAGCCACTTTTGAACCAGCAACAGCGGCATAAGTGCCTGACCTGGGCTACAGAGAAGCAGCACTGGACTGTTGCTCAGTGGTCCAAAGTACTTTTTTCAGATGAAAGCAAATTTTGCATGTCATTCGGAAATCAAGGTGCCAGAGTCTGGAGGAAGACTGGGGAGAAGGAAATGCCAGAAGTCCAGTGTGAAGCACCCACAGTCAGTGATGGTCTGGGGTGCCATGTCAGCTGCTGGTGTTGGTCCACTGTGTTTTATCAAGGGCAGGGTCAATGTAGCTAGCTATCAGGAGATTTTGGAGCACTTCATGCTTCCATCTGCTGAAAAGCTTTATGGAGATGAAGATTTCATTTTTCAGCACAACCTGGCACCTGCTCACAGTGCCAAAACCACTGGTAAATGGTTTACTGACCATGGTATTACTGTGCTCAATTGGCCTGCCAACTCTCCTGACCTGAACCCCATAGAGAACCTGTGGGATATTGTGAAGAGAAAGTTGAGAGACGCAAGACCCAACACTCTGGATGAGCTTAAGGCCGCTATCGAAGCATCCTGGGCCTCCATAACACCTCAGCAGTGCCACAGGCTGATTGCCTCCATGCCACGCCGCATTGAAGCAGTCATTCATGCAAAATGATTCCCGACCAAGTATTGAGTGCATAACTGAACATGATTATTTGAAGGTTGTCTTTTTTTGTATTAAAAACACTTGTCTTTCATTGGTGGGATGAAATATGCTAATTTTTTGGGACAGGCATTTTGGGTTTTCATGAGCTGTATGCCATAATCATCAGTATTAAAACAATTAAAGACCTGAAATATTTCAGTTGGTGTGCAATGAATCTGAAATATATGAAAGTTTCATTTTTAACATTACATTATGGAAAATAATGACCTTTATCACAATATGCTAATTTTTTTAGAAGGACCTGGATATGAGGCTAGCAGGACATGTTAGACTGGTACAGGACATGTATGAGGATAGCAGGACATGTTATACTGGTAAAAGACATGTATAAGGACAGCAGGACAGTGGTGAGATGTGCTGCAGGAGTGACGGATAGCTCTGAAGTGGAGGTGGGAGTGCATCGAGGATTGGCTCTTAGCCCCTTCTTGTTTGCTCTGGTGATGGACCGACTAACCAATAAGGTCATGCAGGAGTCCCCGTGGACTAGGATGTTTGCAGATAACATTGTCATCTGTGGTGAGAACAGGGAACAGGTGGAAGAGAACTTAGAGAGGTGGAGGTATGCACTTGAAAGAAGAGGAATGAAACTTTCCAGATCCCTGTTTAGACGTATGTCAGAATCAGAACAAGGCTATGATTTAAATCCCCCACTATTTTGACTTATTAGTATGCAATGATAGATCAAGCTAAATGCATCACTATCCTGGAAAAAAAGCACATGCTGCAGAAGACGTGATAATCCAGTAGAGGTTCCAGAAGGACAGTGACCCAAAACATTTACTGTAGCTAGAAGTGATATGAAACTACCAGTAGACCAAAACATAATTGTGTGTTTGAATGGCCCATTCCAAGTCCAGTCCTAAATCAAACTGAAAGTCTGTGGCGAGACTTGAAAATTTCTGTTAACAGATGCTCTCCATCCAGTCTGACTGAGCTTCAGCTGTTTCGCAAAGAAAAATGTGTAGAAACAGCAGTTTAGATGTGCGAAACTGGGTAGGCTAACTGAAGGACGTGCTGCTGGAACTGTGGTTCTTTAAAGTATTACCAGTAACTCAATTTAGTTTTTTTAATTAAATTTTAACTCAGTGGGTTTAAATATAAATGTACACACCACTTCTCAGGTTATTTGTAAAATGTTTTGGGCAGTGCTAGCTCGATTGTCATTCCTGCAGTCTTGAAAACCATGTATCATTTTCTTTTCACTTCCTAATTATGTGCTACTATAGGTTAGTCTATCATGTAATATCAGTAAAACACTTAGAAGTGTTTGGTTTTATCAAAACAAACTGTGGAAATGGTCAAATGGTTTTATATGGTACAGTATATCAGTGTTTTTATTGTCACTGTGTTTTCCTTTGCTTCAGATGAGCATGTGGATCTGAGTGACAGTAAGTGGGAGGACATCCACGTAACCACCGGTGCTCTTAAAATGTTCTTCAGAGAACTTCCTGAACCTCTCTTCACATATGGATTCTTCAATGACTTTATGAATGCCATCAGTGAGTGATTTCTTCCCTGAGTTTAAGTTCCAATAATTAAATTACACAAACACCACACACACAGAACAGTTAAACTCTCAATGAACAGCTGAAATCGACTCATGTAGCACCTTCAGCACCACTTGTGTTGTAGTTCCAAATGTGACCAGCAGATGGTTCTAATGTGATGTCCTGATGCATGCTCAATAATCCAGGTAGATGAATCTAACAAGGTTGAGTCGGGACGATCATCAGCCCTTCGACCCATCATTAATGACCTGATGGCCACTTGCTATTTGCAGACGGCTGAGTGATACCAGCAATAACAGCATTGTAAGGGTGACAGGTGGACATGGATGCCTCCGCCATGTCCTCTTTTTGCTCGTGAACAATTAGTTTTGGTTGTCAGCAGCAAACTGGTTGATCCACTATGAGAAAGTGCTGCTGATAAGACTGAGTTTGTTTCAGCTCTTTGGACTAAAGGAGTTTTTACAAGAAAAGACAAAATGTTAAATCAAAGAAGAACCCATACAGACGACCTGACTCAACCTTGTTAGTTCTAATGTGATGTTCATTTCCTGATTCTGTTTCTTTTCTTCAGAATGTTCAGACTACAAGCAGCGAGTGAATTTTGTCAAAGATTTAATCAAGAAGTTGCCAAAACCCAACCACGACACAATGCAGGCCCTCTTCAAACACCTACGAAGGTAGGAAGGACACACTTGGGCATTTCTGTTTACCAACAAAATCTTCCACTTGTTTTCCAAATATCTTAATTGTCCCTATATATGTGTGTGCGTGTGTGTTTGCATGTACGTGAGTGCGTTTTTGTTTCAGGTTATAGTGGGGACCAATTTAGCAAAATATTCTGCATGTGAAGATCAACTGCTCCTTATGGGGACCAACACCAGGTCCCCATAAGGAGCAGTCTCGTTTGGGGGTTAGGTTCAGTGTAAGGGTCAGGGTTAGGCTATAGAAAAGAATGGTTGTCAATGCAAAGTCCCCACAAAGTACAACTGTGAGAATGTGTGTGTGTGTGTGTGTGTGTGTGTGTATGTGTGTGTGTGTGTGCGTGCGTGCGTGCGTGCGTGCGTGCTTGGGGGGGGGTGTAGTGTTATAGATTACACTTTTTGTCTACAACTGGCATATTTTTTAACTTGTTACAGCTAATGTGAAACAAGAAGTGATGTCAAAATGGAATTATTTAATAAAGTGGAAATCCCTGGTTTTGTTTATTGAAACAATATTTTTTAACGGTCTTCTTAATCTCTCTCTGATAGTGACTCAGATTAATCTAACGAAACATCAGATTCTTTGCTACTGTCTGTGTTTATAGCCATTGTAGCAATGCTCTGTTCACATTTGGGCCATTGTCATCACTTCCATTTACTGCACATGCAAATATCTTCACCACTGCTCATCTCGGTGGCATGATTTTATTGTATTTCTTTGCAATCTCTTCTATTTCTAGAACTGCATTCATAATTTTTTACAAAAAAATTGATGTCACAGGCACTTTAAAGATATACTTTGGAGATACTGAAGCAGGATTCTGTGGAACAGTTGTGAACATGTAATGTCTTACTTGTTGTGTAAGTATTGTTTTGTGTTGTTCGATAGTACCTGAGAGACACCACCAGCCAAAGACAAATTCCTTGTGTGTTCTGTAATTACTTGGCCAATTGTTATGTTTCTGATTGTGAGATAACTCTTTGAACAAACTAGGTTATTGTAAAACAAGACTGATTAGCTCACAGCTAGTCCAGTGCTACCAAGACTAAAGTGGATCACTGTCGTCATATTATAGCTTCAATCTTAAAAAAATAATTGTAGTTCATGTGAAATCATTTACAGATCTTTACACCACCATCAGTTTCACATTATAAAGTAAAGTAAAGTGCTATGTGTTGTCATCATTGTGTGTTCCCATACAAAGTCAGGGGGTGGAGTCACTGGTTGTTTCAGAAACTTCACAACAACAAGATACGCCATTTGCAACAGCTCAAACTCGAGGAGTGACTGGACCTATTTTTAAGATTTTTAAAACAGTAATGACAACACCATGGTCTAATGCTGAAGTTCAGAGCGAGCTAGATGGAGCTCTGCCGGTCCCCCCGGTCCTCTCCACCGGAGCCTCGGAGCCTCCTCAAGCCGGGCAGGACGTCAGCTCCGAGCTCTGCCGGTCACCGCAGAATATCCGACCCACAAGAACAAGCGAGGCTGGAGCTCAAGCCCCGGTGTTGCGTGCTCTGCGGTCAACGAGCTCCGCTGGTCACCGCCGGGGCTCATATGAGCTGCCGACACGCAGAAGAGAAGAAGAGAAGAAGAGCGCGTGCTCATGAAGGCCGACCCCTGGCAGACGGACAGACCAGGAGGGGTCTGGGACGGAGGGTAGAAACAATTTTTAAAAACATTTTATGTATTAAAATAAAGTTGTTGTTTTTTTTATCAGTGAAGATTTAAAAAATATACGATGCCGGCTTTATCATGAAATCCTGTTTTCACTTTAATTACTATTAAATAATCTGTTGAAGTTAACTCATCTGAAAAATCATAAAAAGACAAAATAATTAGATCTCTCAGGAATATTTCCCTCAAACATGTTCAACTTTATTCTAACCCGCAGATGTACAAATCACAAAACAAGAATTAAACTTTTTAAGCAAAACTAAAATAAAAAAAAACATCTGAACAAGAAACAAAACCACATTTCTAAATTGAACAATAAAAGTAGACACGAGTGTAAGTACATCAAATGATGAAGAAAACCTATAAAAAATTTAAATATAGACGTTTTTGTAGAATCTGCTTCATAAGAGATTTAATGGTGAACTAAAGTTCATTAAAAGTTCATTAGCAGGATTTATATATATATATATATATACACACGTGTGTGTGTGTTTTATTTGATCATTTAAATAATCTTTATTCTTTTTAATTTACCAGAAACTTCCAAATAAATTCTCACCCTGTTCTGAAACCTGTTTCAGTGTCTCACCACCACCAGCTGGTGAGGCGTGTGACGTCAATTTGAACCCCGCCCACTGGAACCAGTACTGAAAGTATAATGGAAACGCAACGTGTACCGTGCCGAGTCGAACCGTGCTGTACCGGTACTAAATGTACTAATGGAAAAGTGGCTTAAGATATACACTAAAAACTAATAATGTAAAACAATACGACGTAACAGCAGCCCCAACATGTTCACACTGCAGTTCTCACTAAAAAAACAAGACTCTTAAATAAAATTACTGCTAATTGATCCCAATGGTTGATTATGTTTGTTCAATCATCCAACTTTACAGCAAATCCACTTTGCCCTTTCTGTGCTTGGATTAGGATTGAACTCTGTTTTTCCAATTAGTCATTCAAAGAACTATCTACCAACAGGTAGGACAGGACGTTTTCTACAAAACCCCAGGATACCCTTTAAACTAGACCCTTCATTTGTTTGGGTCAAAGTAAGTCTTAGCTGTTTACTTCTGCTCACACTCGTCTGTCTCTGAGCACTAACCCCAACCAGAGTGTATTCTTAGCCCAGCACAGCCAGTGGCTCTATCATACATTCACAATGACATTTGCTTAGGTTTCTCATTTGCATTTATATGGCGTTGTGTTTGCTGTAATTCTGTACCTATGAAGTGGTGTTTCTTGAGGAAATTTATAGCGTGACATTCAGAATATGGAGGTTTGCAGGAAGATTTAATCTGCTTTACCCTCCTCCTGTTTATGAATAAGTTATTGTTTTGTGCATCTGCATGCAAGGATGCAGATTCTATTTAAAAATGCTTTTCTGCTCCCGCCTGGAGTGTTTCATCGTACTGCAAAGTGTTTGTGTTTGCCTCCGCGCTCAGTCCAAAGCCCTGGAGCGTGTGTGTTAAGACACTGATGTTGTTTTCCTACATAAAAACCCAAAGCGTTGTCAAACAAATGGCTCCAATCTAATCTGTAAATCTGCTCTTGTTCTGGTTCTCCTCCTCTTCCAGGGTGATAGAGTTCGGAGAGGCCAACCGCATGACCACCCAAAGTGTCGCCATCGTGTTTGGACCCACACTGCTGCGGCCCGAGACCGAGATGGGCAACATGGCTGTGCACATGATCTACCAGAACCAGCTCGTGGAGCTCATTCTGCTCGAGTATGAAAGTGTTTTTGGAAGGTAGAAGAGGACTGGTTCTTCTACGTGAACTGGACAGTGCTGTGGACCAAGCCAGTTGGACGAGGAAAAAAGAAAAAAAAACTACAAAAGTGATGCACTTACGTTTAGGAACAACTTGTGTGACTCTCATCCGCCTTTGATGTGGGTCAAATGTGAACCAAATTTCCGACTGGTGTGTGGGATTTAGAGCGGTTCCACATACTGGATTCCTGTGGCCAGTCATTCAAAGCCAAGCCGACAGCACTGTTCCTCCTGCTGTTGGAATCAGAGCAGTCACTTCACGGAGCTGGCGCTGCTTCCTGTGCTTTGGATCAAATGGTCATTGTTAACAAGTCTTGGATGACCTGTCCCTCCTAACCAGTGTGGACCACAACGTCCTTGTGACTTGAACAAGTTGAACTGAACACCTCCCTGTTCCTTTGTTCAAACTGTGTTCGGTAAAGTTCTCAATATGCTGCTGGCCCGGACAGCTTGTGGTCCTCGTCCTGGATGTTACTGGGAAAAATGAGTGGGTTTCTGTGACCTGTGGTCCTATCATTTCACATGAAGCTTATGTTAAATAGCATTTAGAGAAGTCATGCAGCAGTTTTGTGTGGGTGTTAGAATAAAAAAATAGCCTTCAATCCACATTTCAGCTTCTTTGAACTAGTTGTTGCAGTCAAATGTTTTATTTTGACACTTTGGTAAAGGCTTTTGATTTTGTACATTAACACTTAAACATGAATTTCAAACACAGAATGTGGATTAAAAAGCGTTGCTTGTGTTTGCAGGTTGTTTGTGGGTCAGCTGCACATTTTGAATGTAATTTTCAGCCCAACTGCTGTTTGTGAGATTGCTCTGTCCAATAAAAAAACGACAAATGCAGCGTTTGTTTGGTGAATCTGAAGTTAAATGTTTATAGGAAAAGGTAAGTCCCCGTTTAACCTTCAATCAGCTCTGTGGCTCCCTCACCTCTTAGTTTTAATCACATAATTGAAATAATCCACTCAGCACAGATTTCCTGCTTATTCAATTGACTGATTAGGCTTTCACGTCTCCACCAATTATATTCCTACTTGTTAATTATGAAATGAGCAGCTGACATTTCTAGAATACTGTACAACGCCTTCCCCTGGACGTCCATCATTCTGCCGTCTTCATTGTTCTGCAGAGGTTTTGCCATTATCCGTCAGGTCAAAGCAGCTGAAGGCTATGGATAAACTGATGTCTAATTAGGTAATTGCCGCGGTGCCAGTTCTGATTAAGAAGCATGAGGTGGAGGGAGGACTGAGGGGAGCCGTTAGATCAGAGCCAAGCCCAGAGTCCTTCCAGCTTTCATCTGTTTCCGTGCTGCTGTTTGTTTTCTGCAGGAATGCTCTCACAGAGAGCATTCCTGTCGGAGAAAGAGAAAACTGCTTCAAAGTAATTATAACACTAATATCTCCTCTGGATAACTTTCATATAGTTTATTAACAAGCAAAGTGAGCAACAATGTGGTTTTCATTGTTTTCTCAATTCACATTGCTTATTTTTCAAGTTCCCACAAGGTTTACTTCTATGCATATATGGTGGCAGCCATCTTGGATTTTGACGCAACAACCCAATTTTCGAAAGGAACCTTTTTAATGCATGTACAGTAGATGTAGACACCAATAACACACATCAATAACTCAAACTCAAGTCTGAAAACAGGATCGATGAGTGCCTGACTCAATTAAAACACAACTTTATAAAAACAAAACACTAATGATGATAATGAAGGAATGTGAAAAAATTACATTAGATAACTACATGTTGCTCTGGGTGGAGTTAGCATGTTCTGAGGGTTTTCTCCAGGTACTCCAGTTTCCTCCCACAGACCAAAAACATGCATGTTAGGCTGATTGGTAACTCTAAATTGTCCCTAGGTGAGAGCGAGAGTGAATGGTTGTTTGTCTCTATGTGTCCCTGTGATGGACTGGAGACCCGCCCAAGGTGTACCCTGCCCCTCGCACAGTGATTGCTGGACAAGGGCACCAGTGACCCAAAATGGAAGAAGCGGGAGAAAGATAATGGATGGATAACTAAAGTCTTTATGCGAGGAGACCTGCTACATTCACACATCAGCTGATTATTCATGGCAGGAGTTTAAAGTTGATTATTTTTGTTATGTTGGGATACGATCATTATCTTTTTTTGCTTATTTCTTTCTGGGTCGCAGTGGTCACTGGTGCCACTGGTACCTATGTCCAGCAGTCACTGTGCGAGATGCGGGGTACACTCTGGACAGGTCATCCATCACAGGGCCCCATCAAGACAAACAAACGTTCACTCTCTCACACCTAGAGACAGTTCAGTTACCAATCAGTCTAACATGCATGTTTTTGGTCTGTGGGAGGAAACTGGAGTACCTGGAGAAAACCCACGCATGCATGGAGAGATCATGCAAACTCCACCCAGAAAGGTCCCGGGCGGGATTTGATCCGGTGACCACCTCGCTGAGAAGCAACAGCTCTACCAACTGAGCCACCATGCCACCCACGTTGTGATACTATGAACTAGTAAAATGAGCCACACTGCTCAAAAAATAAAGGGAACATCTAAACAAAACAATGTAACTCCAAATCAGTCACCTTTGTGGAATCAACGTCACCAGTTAGGTAGTAACACTTATTGTGAATCAGTTTCACCTGCTGCTGTGCAAATGGAATACACAGCATCTGGAATGAGAGGCAATTATCAAGACAACCTCTATAAAATTGATTCTGCAGGTGGTGACCACAGGTCATTCCTCTGTTCTCGTCCTTTCTGGTTGAACTTTTAGTCACTTGTTCATTTTGTCAGTGCTGTCACACATAGAGGCACCGTGAGTTTTTTTTTTTTTTTTTACAGCTCACTGAAGTTGATCAAGTAGTGCAACTAATCCAAGATGGAACATCAATGCAAACAAGAAGATTTGCTGTGTCTCTCAGCACAGTGTCCAGAGCATGGAATAGGTACCAGGAGACATGGAGGGGGCTGTAGGAGGGCTGCAACCCAGCAGCAGGACCGCTACCTCGTCCTTTATGCAAGGAGGAACAGGAGGTCCACTGTCAGGGCCCTACAAAATGACCTCCAGCAGGCCACTAATGTGCATGTTTCCAGTCAGACTGTCAGAAACAGACTCCATGAGGGTGGTATGAGGGCCTGACGTCTACATATTGGGCCTGTGCTTTACAGCCCAACATCGTGCAGGACGATTGGCGTTTGCTAGGGAACACCAAAATTGGCAGATTCGCCATTGGCGCCCTGTGTTCTTCACGGATGAAAGCAGGTTCACACTGAGCACATGTGACAGAGTCTGGAGACACCGTGGAGAATATTATGCTGCCTGCAACATCCTCCAGCATGACCGGTTTGGTGGTGGGTCAGTCATGGTGTGGGGAGGCATTTCTTTGGATGACTGCACAGCCCTCCATGTGCTAGCCAGAGGTGCCCTGACTGCCATAAGGTACCGGGATGAGATCCTCAGACCCATTGTGAGACCATATGCTGGTGCAGTGGTCCCTGGGTTCCTTCTTATGCATGACAATGGCCTCATGTGACTGAAGTGTGTCAGCAGTTCCTGCATGATGAGGGCATTGATGTTATGGACTGGCTTGCCCGTTCCCCAGACCTGAATCCCATTGAGCACATCTGGGACATCATGTTTTGGTCAATCCACCAAGGCCACATCGCACCACAGACTGTTCAGGAGCTAACTGATGCTCTAATCCAGGTCTGGGTAGAGATCCCTCATGAGAACATCTGCTGTCAGCCATCAGGAGCATGCCCAGGAGTTGTTGGGAGTTTATACAGGCACGTGGAGGCCACACACACTACTGAGCCTCATTTAGACTTGTCTTAAAATATATATACCATACCACTTTATTTATAAAGCACTTAAAACAGCTACAAGGCCAACCAAAGTGCTGTACAGACAAAACAACAGGTAACACACAAAGTCATATAGTTATATATAGTTATATATATATATATATATCAAATATATATATAAAAAAAAAAATATATATATATATATAAATATATATATATATATTGAGTATGAATCCAAATCCAGATCTCCATGGTGTAATAATTTTGATTTACGTTGATAATTTTTGTGTTATTTTCTTCTCAATCAATTCACTGTGCTAATAATAAAGTTTGTCAATGATAATATTTAATTAATTGAGGTCTAGGATGTGTTATTTTAGTGTACCCTTTAATTTTGTGAGCAGTGTAGTTTGAACAAGAATATTTTGATAATCAGCAGCTGTATAAATGTCAGAGTGACGGTCCAGTTTTGTGAAGAGGCTGTATCATCTGTTTAATTTGTGGTTCTGATGGTAATGTTTCATAAAATAGATTTGTTTTTACTGCAACTTAACAGCACCTTCTGTGGACATAAAAAGTCCATAGGTTATGATAATAAATAAACCTTGTGTTGAAGGTTAATCCAACATTTGATCACTGGAGCTCTGACTGGTTTAGGATGACGGTGGACGTTTTAGTTTAGTTTCATTTGACAATGTGTTTAAAGTCTTACATCAGGTAGAACTATATGAATATATAAATATCTTTCTGTCAGATTTTAAAGTTTGGGATCTCATTAACGTGTGATCAGATTGAGCTTCTTATTTTCTAATAAGGTGCAAAGAAACCCTCCTTTGGTATTCTGAAAGCTCAACTTTCAGCTCAACACAATCAAAATCTAGAACAAGGCGGGTCATTAAGTTTTCAACCCTCTGTCCATTTTCTTCCACCAGTTTCTCCTTTCCAGATTGCAGGTACACAGAAATGTTATGTTTATTAATGGGTAATTAATGGAGGTCTGGGCCTGAAGGCAGCCCAACATGAATGTTTTGGACTGTGGGAGAAAACCTACGCAAACACAAAAGAGAACATGCAAACCCAACCCAGAAAGACCTCTAGGTCTAAACCTGGAGGATGGACCTGGACCAGGCCTTGCCATGAGGCAACAGTGCTGACTTCTAAACCATTGTGCTGAACATTTGTTCAAAATGTTTTGTTAACAGCTTAATATGTGTAGAGTGCAGTGAAATAATTTATGGTCTCCAAATTTTCAAGTATAATTTGTAGCCATGTTTTAATTTGTAGTTTCATAATAAAATACAGTGGTAGCGGTTAGCACATTCAAATTCAAATTCAAAAATACTTTATTAATCCCAAAGAGAAATTATATGTTGTTGTTACTCGTTATCCTCCTTTCATTAAGAGATGTTATAGATGCTGATGGCTGTAGGCAGGAAGGATCTCTTGTAAAGGTC